ATAATCTCTGTATCGCAGTTTCGGCAACAGCAGCTTTTTATGATTACTTTCTGGTGTTTGCACCATTTTGTAATAGCAGCTCACACTGAGCAAAAGAATTAGCTAATGGTATTGTTAATGACTGGCTCGAAAGAGGTGATAATTTGTGGTTCCCACTTTATTAAGTCTGACGTGAAACAGTCTCCATGGCATCTAGTGTTTAGACTGTAAAGCAGCCGACCATCGATTCACTTCCATTCTTCAAGGGTTGCTTGTATAAGATTCTGGGTACTTCGTCATGACGAAGATGTCCCTGATATATTCTACTGAAATACGAGTAGAACTTCAGGATGACTCGTTCAGATCTCTGTTTTGGAAGTAATGCTGCTTCCGGTTATATGACCTACATGGGTATCTGTGCTGTTTTATAAGAACCACTTTAGCTCCGCACGATACCGCGCGTATGACATTGACAGAGTTCGGCGCAACTGAACAGTGGTGGAGCGCTATTCCACCGGTAGGAATAAAGTTGCTTCGTGAAATGCGTTAGCTGACTGTCCGCTTGATACGCGCGGTGGAGTGCGGAGCTAAAGTGATGTCTGTAAACAACCACCATGCATCGAATGTCAGACAATTTAGCGGTCGTACAACATTTGATGCTAATGATGTTGAAATGGAAATACCCAGTACTGATTATCATGTTCTTCGAACATCCACCGTGCAGTTTTAGGAATACAGGAGTGTGTAGCGGCCAAATGGAAATTCGGGCTAAAGACAACAACGCATGTGAAACGATATTATCTCTCTCAAAGTCAACTTCGTCGACTTGAGAGAGATAATATGTCCCCGCAAGGCTCTATAGTAATCCTGGAGTCCATTATGCAGGTACTGGAAGCGAAATTCTATTACAACATCATAACAGAAAATACCCTCTTCTTTCACAACCCCTTCACAAAATTGCAAGCGCTGAAGTAGAATCGGCCACCTTCGCAAGTAAGCCAAAAGAGTATGATTCACCAAACACTGTGTACAACCATTTTAACGAAATCCTACCATCCTACTATATATAATCGGCTAAGCGGTTGTGCGTGTGTGTGTCTGTGTGTGTATGTGTTTGTCTGTCTGACCGGAAATTCATAGCTCGGGCACCAGTGGTCGTCAGGAGTTGGTTTCAAGATATGATATAGGGGTGGGACGGAACATATTTGGTGGGGTAAAGAAAGTGATCACAACTGATAAGGGCTGATAAAAGGCGCTAGAACGCAAGTGTCGCGAAATTCATAGCTCGGGCACCAGTGGTCGTCAGGAGTTGGTTTCAAGATATGATATAGGGGGTGGGACGGGAACATATTTGGTGGGGTACAGAAAGTGATAACACAACTGATAAGGGCTGATAAAAGGCGCTAGAACGCAAGTGTCGCGAAATTCATAGTGCGCTTCGCAGCAGTCGTCAGGAGCTGATTTTGGGGCATGATATAGGGGGTGGGACGGGAACATATTTGGTGGGGGTCACAAAGTGATAACGACTGATAAGAGCAGATAAGAGGCGCTGAAACACAAATTTCACGAAATTCATAGTGCGCTTCGCAGCAGTCGTCAGGAGCTGATTTTGGGACATGATATAGGGGGTGGGACGGCAAACATATTTGGTGGGGGTCAAAAGTGATAACGACTGATGAGGACTGATAGTAACGATATGCGTACGAACGTAGAGAGCACTTGAAATAGAAAATAGAGAGCAGATTGTAGATAATGCCTTTCATTTCAATATCATTTCATCAGCGTTGTAATTGTAAACTCAAACACCTTTCGACCGCTACACCTTCTAGAGTTCTTGAGGATGAATGGGATGCTCGAATAAATATGATATGATAATGAATACTGGGCATTCCGTTTTGAGATATTCGACCGCTAAATTACCTCGATACTCGACGCATAGTGGTTGTTTACATCATCACTTTAGCTGTGCACTTCACTGCGCTTATCAAACAGTGAGATACAGCCAAGATGGGCAGCCTATGCAACGGACAGTAATACATTTAACGAAGCAGCTATAATTTAGCGGTGAAACCTAAAGCTTCATCGATTGTCAGTTCTATCAATGCGCGCGGTAGCGGGCGGAGCTAAACTGGTATATACATATAAAGCGGCTAAGTGTGTCTGTTGGTGTGCGAAATTCGTAGCTCGGGTCACAGCAACGATAGCGCGCATGGTTTTATGTTATAGGGGGTGGGATGGGGACACAAGTGGTACGTGATAGGAACTGATAACGACTGATAATAGCTGATAAGAGGGGCTAGAAAGCGAGCATCGCCAATTTCGTTTTGTCGTTCATATTGGTACTAGAGCGTCTATACTTACAAGTGTTATGTGGGGTGGTCCCGGGACATTGGTGGTACATGAATGAAAGCGATAGCAACTGATAAGGGCTGATAAGATGCGTCAGAACGCAAAAGTCGTCGATTCCGTTACCTGGCTCGCGTTGACACCAGAGCAACCATACTTACAAGTGTTATGTGGGGTGGGACGGGGACATTGTTGGTGGGTGATGGAAAGTGGTTACAACTGATAAGGCTGATAAGGCGCGTCAGAACGCAAAAGTCGTCGATTCCGTTAGCTTGCGCTGACACTAGAGCGTCCCTACTTACAAATTCTATTTGTAGTGGTACGTGCACATTGTATCATTGTATGACCAGCTTACTTAATAGCAGTCGATTGCATAAACTCAATCAAGTCTTCAGCAAATGATAACTTTCATTTCTATCAAGAAAGCCCAAACTCATTAAACCGCTAATCCTTTCGGGGTTCTAAATAATGGTGAATGTAAATAAATGATAAGCCTTAGCTCCTCACTTATGTAAATAGGCATATTTCATTTTCATTTTGAGACTGACAGCAATCCTATTCACCGCTAAATTATCTGAATTCAAGAAGAATGCTGGATGTTTACAGTTGTGATCAATATGCCAGTTCAGCTCCAGACGTTATCACGCGTATTCTCGATGAGACTTCAGCGAAACTGGGAAGGTCTAACACATTCAATAGTGAGGTGGTTAATGGAGTACCTCATGCTGATATTCCATGGGTCCTCCAGTTTCGCTAAAGCCTGCCGTGTGATGCGCGCGATAGCGGGCGGAGCAAAACTGGTATAAATATATTAATGGCCGTATTCTATGAAACTGCAGCCCGTGTAAACTGTTTATTACCGAATGCGTGCGCAGCCAAACTGGTAAGCAAACAAAGTGGTACGAGGTGAGTGTATGATTCAAGAAACTTATAAAATCTGTCTCGAAAGGCACGATGGATTCCCTATCGCGATTGACTCTGTGTCTCAGTATCCTTAACAAGCCGGGTCCGGCACTCTTGTTGAGCGCTCGCGAAGCGCGAGAGTGGCACTCTTGTGACCTTCGCTTGGCTCTGTGGCTATGCAGATCTATAAGGCAAGAAGAAAGCGATCACATGGCATTGAGAAGGTGCCAAAACTTCTCCGAGAATTCGCTGGTATGAAAATAGTCCCGATGTACACTTTTGGCGTTAGCTTACTAACGGAAGTTGTCGCGGCACAGTTGTGCACCCTCAGCAACGTTAATATTATTCTTACTAGGAATGGTCAATTGGTCGGTCCGGCCATTTGTAATGAGGTGTAGTCCGATGCACGCGTCTTGCGACGCTGAGCTCAAATCCGTTTTCGGTTTTTGCCGAACGATTCTCTGAACGAAGTTACGAGGGATTCTTCTCACTGTGGCTATCTCACTGTGGCGCCCTCTACATCCCCTATCCCACTCGGCTCGCATAAGAAGAGCCGCAGAGCATGCAGTGGGTGGTGGTCTAGTGGATAGCGCTCTTGCTTCATAGGGTGAGGTCATATGTTCGAATCCTTGTCGGCGGCAACTTTTGCATTTTTTCAAGGCTGCTCATACGAGCCCAGAAAGCGTTTATAATTGGTTATTCTGTTATGCGTTCTGTTCGTTCGTTCTGTTTTTACGCGAGCCAAGTGGGATAGGGGACGTAGAGGGCCACAGTGAGAAGAATTCCTCGTAACTTCGTTCAGAGAATCGTTCGGCAAAAACCGAAAACGGATTTGAGCTCAGCGTCGCAAGACGCGTGCATCGGACTACACCTCATTTTAAATGGCCGGACCGACCAATTGACCATTCCTTGTATCAATGGAAATAGTACATGAGGGTATTAATCGTTCTCTTGGGCGAGAAACAGATTAATTACTCATGCGTATATATGTATATGGGTATGTGTAGAAATGTGAGAATTTGTCGTGATCCTTGCTTTTCAGCCCAATATATTCCACTCTAGTCCACTAACACCCTTTTTCTAGAGGAGTTCTTCCACCTAATCAATTGAGAACGCAATAGTTCAACTGAGTGACTGAACCCTTCTACGGAGCTGCTATGTTTAATGCATCTCCTGAAAATCTTTCAACTGAGACACCTCATTGTAGCACAACTTTCTACTAGGGCTACAGGAGCTGAACTAGCTACAAAAGTATCGGTTTAAATAGAAATAGGATCGTTTAATTGAAACAAATTCGCAATATCTGCATATATCATGATGACGAATCACATGATAAAGACTGAGTACAGAAATATTTAATTTCCCGACATGACGCTGCGAAGTTCACAACCGCTCGTGTTCACGGAAGCAAATTTGTTACGTGAACGAGTTCTGGCTCCGCATCTAGCTCTCTTGCATTACAGGTAATGGGAGGTAATGATGCCTCCATTGGCGAACTACCATGGACTGTTTTGATCTTTGTTCCCATCGAAGATGTTGACGATACTGAAATGGAAGGTATTACGGTTTTCAAACCTTAAAACTATTGTCAGTACCCTTTATGAATACAACAATTAGATCGCCCGTTCACGTAGGATTCCGACTCCACCCTTGGCGATGTTTTACTACTTCCACCTATGCTTCAGTAAAAAAACAGGAGGGTGGCGAAAAAATGAGAACAATACTACCAGTCAACTAGCCCAAGCTTCATATCGTTGTTGATTATCCGATCCATGATTGCGATAAGAACACCAAGTCTTACATGAGTCCGCATTTAGGTTAGCACACGCCTTCACCCTCCATATGTTTTAGCAAGCCAATGCACCGGTATTCTGGTGACTCGCCGACATATCATTACGGCTGCTCATTGTTTCGGTAATATGGAGAATGGATGCAGGTGATATTCCTGTATTGGTTTTTTTGTTATTTTTCACTAGCACTAAAGATCTTGAAGGCACAGCCAGGCGAGGGCGAGTCTTCCTTTCGGTGTGTAGTATAGAACCCTAGAGGCCATAACTAATGCGGTGATCCCGTGCACCAAGACCAACCGAGCGCTTGGGCCTTGCAAAGTGAGCTGAAGCTGCAGATTTTTTCTCTTATCAGGCTGTTGTCTGGCGCTCTCTCGCCTCATACTCTCCTCTCCGCGCTTAGTCTCTCATTCCCTTAGCACAGCCGATTAGGAAGGTGAGTGAGCCCTTAACCTAAGCGTTTTCGACGGATTCTTTTCCTTTTTTCTTTACTGCCGGCCCACTTCGCACCAATACATTCGCATTCGTGTGCAAGAGCCACACCAATGTGATCCTGGGGCATGCCTTTAAGAGACGATCTGAACGAAAAACATCTGCAATTGCTTTGAACTAGATTTCAGCGCTGAAACCATGGAGTCGCTCGAAAAAGTGGTTGAAGGAACAAAAGTCATGGTTGATGGCGTTTGTTCTGAGGTGAACAAGGGGGAGAAATGCAGTAAAAAGGATATCGGCTTATTTATGAAAATCAAAAAGTGAGTCGACTATCTCGGTTATATTTGAAGACGGTCAACTTTCTAAGCATCATGAGATTCTCTGATCAAAGGAGATAAGAGCAATTCGCCTAAGAGAATAACCCCCGTCTGCCACTAATTTTTTATACGTAGCTGATTAAGCAGTTGCTCCATTTTTTATGATATCAAACGACCGTCTCCATCCGCCAGATTTCTTTTGAGCTCGGTCTCAAACTGAAAATACAGCCACCCGATTCCTGGGGTTCGAGCTATGCACCACCAAATCAAATGAGACACGAGGGACTGAGCAATGCACTAGCAGAAGTGAGGGAGTGTTACGAAACTTTCTCTATTCTCACATCTCTGGCAGAAGTCATGGATCCAAAATTTGAGAAGCTTCTTCTTTCGAAATGTTTCAGGGATGATTCAGGGCTGTTCCACGACTTTCAGACCACTATCAATCCAGTCCCATTGTGGCCACCCTGCCCTTTTGACAGCTATGTACAATCGCAGAATGATATATCGTCCTTTCAATACGGCTTTTCAATTCCGATGCGTATTTTCGCTCAGAAATAATACCACCCAGATCCAAAGTGGTACGAATGTCTAAAGTGTTAAGGTTCCACTTTTCTTCAAATGGCTTAGCTCGTTGCGCGCTACACTCTGAGGACCAGACCATGCTGCCTGTTGTTTACAAACTTAATGCGCGGTTCAACACTTATCAAGAATGACAGAATGCTGCATGCAGGATAGCTGCCAGCGAGCAGGTTGCGCTCTGCACTATCGATCACATCTTCACAAGCACAAGACTCTGCTATTCACGTTCAGTCCCAAATTTTCAAAGAGAGCAACATACACTGCGACGCATAATTATAGTTCCACCTACAAATTTCCCAAAAACTTGAATCTGGGATGTTTTTGAAAAAGGCTCTACAGACAAATTGTGACACATATAAACGCGAATCTGAATATTAACACGGAAATCCAGTTTGAGAAAGCAACAATTTTATCCTCATTTTTTCGAAAATACCCGCTTTGCCTATGACGCAAAATCATAGTTCCACCTCATGTTTCTCCGCTGCATTTTGCTTTTACCCAATCAAATTTTGAAATTATTACCCATTCAAGTTCCTTAGCTTATAGCAAAGGCAAAACCGCTGTCAGACTTCCGTAAAAGGAAAATCCTAGCAAAAGAGACGCAGGAATTGTCGAAGTGTCAGCTCACGCTGGAATTTGTCGGGGTGACTTCATAACGAACAAATTTCTCAAGGATGCTACAGGATATGACTGGGAAGGAACCCTGATTACTATCCGACCGAGATAAGCGCCGTATCGTGAGAAAATAATACGACTTTATCCAGCCGGGTACGGAAATCAAAACTTCTTCAAAAGTTAGTGTCTCAATGGAAGCAGTTTCACGTGTTTTACAACACGCTCGTGACAGTCCATGTCTGGAAGATAAGAAATACGCTTTTTGTGAAAAGAAATCAGAGAGAAAAACGAGCCATTTTTCTTAGAAAGTTTCGCCAAGTCGAGTGAAGCGGTGGCATTCTTTCATTTGTGATTTTTGATTTGCGTCTTTCTTTCTCTTAACGTTTTTCTTTCTCAGATCGGTTTTTTACTTCGTAGCAAACATGTATGGAGAAGAAAAAGATCAGGAGTATGGTCAGAGGTTCCAAAATATCACAGATAAAAAAGTGTCCTCACATTGCTCCACTTCGCAAAACTTTTGAGGAGAATGATTCGTTTTCTCTCTGACTTTTTTCCAGAGAAGAGATAATATGCAAATTTTCACGCACTAAGGTTCAGGTTCCCTAGAGAAACAAGCACACAAGAACCACACCCCATAGACATTCGAAGGCGCGAAGCCTAAGGTGGGACATTGAAAGAAATTCGCGGTAAGGCGGCTACGTATCAGGCGAGCAATGGAAGAGTCAGGTAGAAGCGTGCGATTTTAAAGAGTAGAGTAGTATTTTGGAGAGGCAAATCGATCGATAGAATGGCATGCAGTAGAGCATGAGATGTTAGTGCAATGAGTCAAAAAACCAGAGTTTCTAGTGAGGCACTCCGAGAACCAAGTGGAAGCATTCCCGTCGCCAGCATTTGTGACAGATGTCCGGCGGTACTTTGAACGCGTAGCTTCCTCGGTTTTTCGAACATTTTTTACTAGACAAATGCAATTTTTTTGTTCTTTTCGTTCTTATTATGAACGATGGGTTCCAAGCCAGGGAAATTAGTTGAAATCACGATTTTTCCAGAAAGGATTCCTTTGAGATTGTTTTGTTTTGAGAATGAATTGTTGAGCTTGAACGTATTATGATGTTTTCTGATGCTGTGGAATCACTGAAGCTAAAAAACGGAAGAGCGCAGTGGCAGTACTCTGGGTTGAGGTCACACGAAGGATCGAGGGAATCATTAATTTTTCACGAAAGCCCAAACGTTTGCTTTCTTCAGCAACATTAATAAAATAACTAATTGGGTTTCGATTTATGACTGGTCGCTTGAAGAACAGTCAGCGAAGAGTTCTAAGCAAGTTAGAAGCTCTTTACCCGTGCTGTCCATGGCACCTGTAGCAGTCGCATCAAGAGGCAAACAAATGTGATCCAAGATTAGGGGCCCTATTACCCCCAACAGCAAGTTTCTAGCTTAGCCCGATATTTCAACTCTTCTTTAAATTTGGGCGCACACATAGGTCAATCCATCAAGGTGCGCTCTGGCGTCTAGAATAATATCTGAGCATATTTTGATAAGAAAGGATAGTGCCTGCTGCAATGCTTGCATAGGCTTTGAATTCAAAGTACGTCCTTTTTACAACCGCTTTCTCATTCATTCATGATGGGTCAGTGCCGGATGTTGACGGCAGGAGCTTGCAAAATAGTACGAGCTCAGCAGAGTGACACTGCACCATTTCAACACACTTGTTATAACCCACGACTTCACAATAATTCAGATATGAGCGTTACTCCCGCTAACAGATTTTTCTAAACGAACAGAAAATAACGCTTACGGCTACTGAAGCAAGTGCCAAATTTCAGCGCTTCCTATGAGGGTTTTTTTAAAGAAGGCTGCGCTGGTACCAAGGACATTGCATTTGTGGAATTGGAGAAGGATGTTCCTGATGGCATCAATCACATTTGTTTACCACATTTCCACAACATTGACGAACTCGATGTTTCATCGTCAAAGCTCTACTCAGCTGGATGGGGAGCCAATCGTCAGCAAGTTTTTTTTTTCGCATGAACTTTCATTGTTTTCAGTTGATTGTCATTTTAGCACACAAAGGCCATGAGTTTGCTCCACGTCTGCAAAAGATCACACTAGGTAAAGAAAAAAAGAGAATCCAAATTCGTGAATATTCAAGGGAATCGCAAGAGACATGTTTAGGAAGAAAACTATCTGATGAAGAGTGCCTCGAGAGAAAACCCGACAAGCAATATGACACTTTTTGCACTCTTGAAAATATCGTGTTCTTCTTCCATCTATGTTCCATGGTTTTCAAATTTTAAGCCTGTGAAATGGGAGGTCCCGCCGACAAAAATTGACCAAACCGACAACTAGCTCTAACTTTATGTTCCCTTCGGAGAAATCAATCAATGATGTACCCTCTACTTACTCATGACCTCTTCTGAACATTCCACCCTTAGGTTGCCGAAAAAGGTTTGCCCTGTTTCTTTTCGAATTGGCCGACCGATAAGTCATGGCAATTTTCAAATTGAAATTCTTCCTCTGAAACGCTATTGTTTTATATCAACTGGTATATCTTTTGTGAGCACTTCTTCTTCTTTATTCGCTCATTTGTTTTGTTTTGATGTTTGTTAGGAATTAGCTCGAATTTTAGGGTTTAGGAGTAAGGTGCTTTGTCCACAAAAGTGACCGCATTTCTTTGAAAGAAATTATCCTTGAGGAGATGAGAAAACCAACCAGGCGTACATTCCTAACTTAGTCATGACTTGTTCTTGAAATTCTACTAGTTTTCGTATAACTTTTGTTCAAGTTCAATCGACGGTTTGCGACGGTCGGAAACCGTCGCAAACCGTCGGCTCGCCATAACTCTTTAAAAAATGGTTCGCTCGACCTGCAGTTTATACCATCTGATAGCTCTGCTCGAGATCTACAAGATGGTTAAATTCAATTTCTGAAAGAGCTCCATCTAGGATTGCGCCATGCACTCGACCTCCATCCCGAGAAGTAATGAATATACTTTGTATGTGATGCGCATATAAGTCCTCCTATGCAGCCTGATCATCCCACAGAAACATGGATCTCAACACCCTCAGAATACGCCACGTACCCAACCGGTCCACCATATGGTGAGACTGAAGTGAATGTTTTTTTTTCGAATTTCACGATCTTTATTCGTTTTAGAGTGCTAATTGGCTAACCGTGCGCTGATCAACCCATTCTTCCACTCCAAATGAGAATCTTCGAACAGTTTCCAGCAGTAGTAGTAGACCTATTATGTGACATTCCCCACATTTAGAGGAGATGATTTGCGGAAACCTGAGAAGATAGCCAGGAATCTCTCCACTGACGTAGACTCCAGTTACTTCTCTGTAGGATTGATGTAGAATATTTGGTCACGGGTAAGCGCTCCGTCCGTGGTGTGGCCCCAAACATCACTCTCCGTCATGCCCTAAAATGAAAATCAGATTTTTTGCATTTCCAGATGAACTCGCAGACCTGAGATGTGCCCCATTGGATTCCCCGTGAAAAATGCTATCGAATGATATACATTACTCCTCCCAGTTGAAACTTTGGTTTTTCACCGTTTTCAGCCTTCCCCTATTGCCGATTGCGCATCATTATTCCACTATTACTGCCCCAAAATCTCAAAGTTTCATTTTTCGTCGAAACTTTGCCTATTGGGGTAATTCGATGCCCTGATTACGAATATGACATTCATTCTCGTAGTGGGGCCCCAAACATCACACCTCGCCCCATTTTTTGCGACAACTTCAACTTTTTTTGTTCCATGTTTAGAGCAGCTGTTATGTAGAAAGCTGTGAAGGCAGCGACAAA